TCAAATAAAAGTAATTTTGAAAATATTTTTAAAAGAGAGGATTCAATTTGATCATATATTCCAGAATGTCTTATTTTAGATATTTTCATTTTTGTAATAAAAAGAGAATACAACCTTTTCATTTTTGACTTCTTAATTGTTTGCGTACACTTCTTAAATAATAGAAGACTTTGTCCAATTCAAAAAGAAAACAAAACAAAGATATGTAGACAAGCCATGCTTTTGGTTCAGTTTGTGCCATGTGCTGAAAGATAGGACCATTCCAATGCTTGTTTTCAATTTTTTCTTTTTACACAATTAAATTAATCTGTTAAAATCCTGTCATTCAAGAAAAGTGAATGTCTCTTTGCTGGTATGAAATATGAATAAATTCCATCCACATTTTTTGTTGTTGTTTCAATAGATTACATGTATGTGCATCTATGCACAGATGTAAGGTACAAAAACCGGTCTCAATAGAGGATGCAACAGTTTTTATAGAAAGATTGGCATAATGGATAGAGCCTGTGTTCCCCTGTGGGGCCATATGGCAGGAAGACCACTTAGGATCAAGTGTGGAGGCCAGCCTGGGCTCACCCTCTATTGCCAAACAAAGCTGAAGGGCTAAACAGCAGTTTTTCAAGGGGGCCTATGCTTAGTCCCATTTTCTATCCATTTGTTAGACTGGCAGCCACAAGGTTGGTTGCCTTCGCTTACAGTGAGAAATAGGATTACTTCAAAGTTTCAAGAAGTATATAAATTTGCATTTAAAAATAATGAAACTGAAAAAAAAATAATGAAACTGAGGCTTTTTATGGCATAGACTACTTTCCAGTAACTAGAGAATATATATTATTTTTCAGGTTCCTTCGTTGTCTTTGATTCAAATCGTTGCTATACTGGTGTTAGCAATGCCCAGCCACTCACTTGTCCTCCAGTGTTAATTGTATGACCTTTTTCAGTCCATCTTATTTTAGACCAGGCATTAAGAAGATACAGTCCGTACGGTGAGAAGAGAGTAGGCCAATAAATGCAATAGAAGGGCACAGCACAAATATAGCTGGAAGTAGTTTGAATGAGATGAGGGGAGTTATTCACTCAGAGCCCGGATTTTCTTCTGGCTATACAGGGTGGGTTCTTTATCCCTTAGGTAGGGGGAATGTAGAAGGAAAATGGACTTAAACTCAGACTACACTTCATTTGGCTCTACCGGAAACCATATCTCTACGGAGCACAAGGAAGCAAGAAGGAAGCTTGTGTTAAGAAGATCTGGGAATCCACTGAGCCCCCCAGAGGGGAGGAAGGAACTGGGGGGGGGGTGTTCTTGTGCTGTCTGAACCTAGAGGAGACCGGTTGTTAGGAGAGGAGACAGTAGAAGAAATAGGAGGGTGTATTGGATGAAGTGTGGGCAGTTGGTGCGGGTTGTGAGTCAGTTACAGTAGCCAGCTGAAAGGAATCCCAGCTTTCTGCTCCCCTTGGCTTTGCAGTGGCTTGCTAAGAAGGTGTCTCTGGAAGAGCAATATTACAACACAGCCAGCCCTGATTTACTTAGTCTTGGTAAACTTTATGCGGGTTATGATCTGTTTGCATTTAACCAGAGTAGAGGGAGAGGTGAGGTAGCTAGGGACCAGAATGAAGAGAGGCAGAAGCAAGAAACTGGATCAGTCTATAGACCGGTTACTGTGAGAGGTGTTGATGTACATGGTCCTGAATTAAGATCCTACATCTCCTTCTGCGATCCAGTTACAAAGGAACAACAAAATACCCTTTGCTTTTGGTATTTGTAGTCAATGGTAGACTATGGCATTGCTCATCCCCCCACACTGTCGCGATTTTCTGTGTTTTTCAATCTTTTAGACAATATTAAAATATTCCTTTTAACGTGTGGAAAGGGTCCAGGGACCACCGCAAATGCCCCCAGTACAGTTGACTGGTCACTTCCCGGTACCAATATATCAGGTTTCTACTCTGAGAAATCAAACCTAAAGGTTAGAATATTTTACAATGATTGTGACCTGCAAAGTGGGGGAGGGCTGCTAGTTCAGAATGAAGTCTGGGCAGGTGGGCCTACTTTTAGAAAATCATCAATTGTTTATAAAAATAGGTGTCATATAAATCAGGCGAAATCTCTCTCTCTCTCTCTCTCTCTCTCTCACACACACACACACACACACACACACACACACACACACAGTCGCAGCGTTCCAGGCGAAAATGCTTTGTGGATACAGGGAGAGAATGTTTCTCTTCATTTATGTTTCTTTTAAAAAAAAAAGAAAAGATAGGAGATTTCCTTTTTAAAAACTTAACTCTTCTTTTCAGCGTCTACTCTACTTCATCCCAAAAAATGGACCATACTGGATTTTCTGCCTCCCTTTGGGCTACAAATTCGCTCTGGCTGACTCCATTCTTAAAGGGTGGCTTTTATTTAAATAGTGCCTGTCTGTTGCTGGAGAGGCCTGCGTGAGTGTGGCTTCAGTTCTAATCCTGCTTTAATGTAAGGAATACAGTGGGAGAAGACATTTTCTCTCCTCGTGTTATAGCACACACTTCATAGTACTTAGATCTTTCCCAGGCTTACAGGTGCTCAGTCAGGTGGGCATGCACACAACATGAATACAGAAGGTCGCGCGCACGCAAGAACACAGGGGCACACCGACAGACCCTTGCTAATGAGATCCCAGGATTCAGAGGATCCCTGGGGCATCCCTGCAGGAGGATGTGGCCCTTTCCTAGTGTGCCCTCCTGGCATGGTGGAAAAGGGCCTTGGGAGATGGTGGCTTCTTTGGCTTGAATTCTCAACTTACTGGAGTCTAGTTTCTCTCTCCAGCCCATGATGAGATTCTCTGCCAGTTTCCAGGGAACATGGGTCGCACTTTGTGCACAGTTTATTACGCAGTGGGAAACCAGCTTGTCCTTGGTTCTGGAGCTGGAGCCCACCCAGTTCTAGCAGTGGCGCTTGAGCTGAAGCTTGATTCGAGCAGGCGAGGGAAGTGACCGTGTGGCAAAGCCCAGCCTGGCCTAGGACTAAGGGAGCTAGCGCCCCCATTCTGCCCTGAGTGCGCTGTGCACACTAGTAAGCATAAGGGCTACTTTTATTTCTCTTGTCAGTTTGTACTATTCCGTATGTCCGCAAGGTCTGGCTTTCCAGTTCATTTGTTATGTCAACCCAAGTCCAAATATGGTGGCTTGTGCCTCCAGCTGCCAGGGGTAAGGTCGCAAGAAGAGACAGAGGAACAGAGGAAGGCTTGGAGCCCCATGGTTCTTAGGGAACCCTTGAAGGCCTGTTTAATCATCCCAACACAGTTGGTCTAGAAATCCCGGAGGTTTCTTAGAACCTGCCGCTCCTCCTTTTCTTGCTGCGTGGTCAAGTAGGCCCGAAACCTCCAGTGACTCCACCCCTGGGACACAGAATTTACGAAATCTCCTAGGCTGCCAGCAGGGCTTGCTTGGAGAGTCCCCCTCGGATCGCTCCACTGTAGGATCTGGGAGGGCCAGGGACTGGGGCCGGGCACTCTAGCCTAGCGGGCTACTGAAGGTGGCTTCACGCGCTGCGCTGCAAGGGCTTTACTCACAGTCGGGAGCTGTGGGAAACGCCTTTGGAGTCTGAATCCCACTTCACCCCAGACCCCGCTGATCAGCTCGAACTTGCAGGCTGCCTTTCCAGGCTCTTTTATCGGCTCCCGCTTTCTTTCCGCCAAACTTCACGAACAGGGCTTGAACTTATTTCCCTAAAACACAATGTCCTGCATACTGCTGAGTTTGGGGCTCTCCGGACAGCTCCAAGGAAGTGACACAGCCCCCCCCCCAAAAAAAAACAACAAAAACCAAAAACCAAAACTAACAATGCCTTCTCAGGGACTTAAAATCTTCACCCTCGACCAGGATATTACTAAATCTTTCAGGACGGAAGGCTGTTGCCAGGCTTGCCCTGGGCCTGCAAGCACCTCTAGGCACTCCTGCTTGGTCCCCTCTTCCCCAGCTTTCTTGCCCTGAAGGAACTGAGGGTTTCTCCAGCTATGATTAAAAAACAAAATAACTGGTTCCAATGGTGATGCCACGTCCAGAGTCCAGAAGTCACTCTCCTGAAGGCTGGGGGGAAGCGAGAAGATAGCTCAGGTTTGCAGTGCTCAGCTGAACATTGAACAGAAACAAAACTAATCGTTCCTAGCGTGTCTTTTATACTAAAGATTTGTGATCACTGTGAATTTCATTCTACAAGAGACTTTTTAAGTTCACATCAAACGCCTACCCTGATAAACTCAACTTATCCTAAGAAAAAGTTGAGTTTAAGCAACAGAACTGCATATACGTGTTTGCTGTCGTTTAAATGCTGTTTTCCTTTTAATTTATCTTAAAGAAACACACCAAGTCTTAAAAACCCAATATGAAGGCACTTTAACTTACAGATATTACAAAAACCTACAAGTGCGTCGTAAAACTTGTTTTACTTTGTGAAGTTGTAAGGCGTTTTAAAGTTAAGCCAGTATCTTTAAAGACATACAGAATTTAAACCCTGTGACCTGTGTTTTAAAATAATTACTCTGAAATAAAAGGAAATCTCCATAAAGGAGGCGAAACCTGATAGTTTATATGAAGGGCTGAGAGATAATAAAATAATTAACTTTTAATACAAAAAATTCAAATATACGTAAACTCATCTCACCTAAAGAAAAATCTACGAGTAAGATTTAAGGCCATGGCCATGTTCTGCGGAGAATGGGCATTAATTAAGGAGGGAATGTTTAAATGGAAAAAACAAAGCAAAACAAACAAACAAAAGACAAACATGTTGTTTGTGAGTTCTTGCCCATTCCAAATGCTGTGATTTGTAGCACATCAATAAGGATGCGGGATAGCAGATTAAACGTTCCTTAAAAGACCAGTGATAAATGCTAACTTCGGTGTTTTTCTTTCGTTTAAACCTGGAGACTCAACTTTTCCTGGTCCAGATTTTAAAAGCCTTAGGGTCTGGACTGGGTTGGTGGGAGTCAGCGAAAGAGCGGTCAGCTTTCGCTAGGCTGGCACATCCGAGCCAGATGGCGGCGCTTCTCAGTCCGAGATTTTTCCGACCTTGTAAGGAAGTGGGCGCGGGCTGAGTAGAGCCAACGCCTCCTGATTGGTGAGTCATCGCAGAGATGGACAGCTCCGTAGGCTCCGCCCCCACCGCTTTATTGACACTAATGAGCAAGTTCTTCCCACCGCTCTCCTGCCTGGAAGTGCTGACAGATCAAGGCAACAAATTTCAATTACAATCCCTAATTTGTGTCCGCAGAGTGTTTTTTTACCCGTGTTAGTGCTCTCTGGCGCATCAGTCCAGGCAGATCTTGGAGCAGTAGGAGGAGGTGGAGGGGTTGGGAGTAAAGAAGTACATCAGGGAGCTCTAGGCAGAGAGGGAGGGAAAGAAACTTGGCTGCTGCGTTCCTGCGTCCTCGGATCCCAACGCCAGAGAGAAAGAGGAAACGGCAAATTTGGTTTTATTTTGCCGGCCGCGGGGAAGGGAGCAGATCTCGGGAGGCGTCGGGAGCTGCGGAGCGTTTGGTGGGGCCAGGAAGGCGAGCGCGTGCCTGCGCCCCGGCCGCGGGTTTATGAGAGAGGGGCGGGCGGGCGCGGGGCGGCGGGGATGGCGGAGAAGCGGAGGGGCTCGCCGTGCAGCATGCTAAGCCTCAAGGCGCACGCCTTCTCGGTGGAGGCGCTGATCGGCGCCGAGAAGCAGCAACAGCTTCAAAAGAAGCGGAGAAAGCTGACCACGGAAGAGGCGGCCGGGGCGCCGGACGACGCTGGCTGCAGCCGTGGCGGTGGCGTGGGCGATCAGGGCTGCTCCGAGGCCGACGAAGACGCAGCTCTCCCGCTGCCGCCAGCCGGGGCGGCGTCCGGGACAGCGCGGAGCTGCACGGACGTGGAGCGGAGCTGTGGCTCCCGCGGAGCGGCGGGTGAGTCGGCCCCTTCCTGCCCCAGCGGCTTCCCGGGGCGTCCTCGCCCGGGTCCCGTGAACCTGAGGTTCGGCAAGGCTGTGCTGCTGGTGCGGGGTCCCCCGCTCCCGGCCTCTGCCGCTGAGCCCCGGGTGTCGGGCGCTGATCTGTCGGCCTCGCGCACCGTCGGACCGGGGATCCCAGCCGGGCCCAGCCGGCTATGGCTGTCGTCTCCTCTGAGCTCGGGGTTCCAGCTCAGAGTGCTACTTTTCGCCTGGCTAAGTTTTAGGAGCCCCAGGGCGCATGCGGGAGGGCGCGGGCTGAAGCGCCGACACGGGACGGATGCCCCAAAGCCGGGCGTGCCAACCCGGGCTGCGGCGAGCTCGCCCACGCTCCTTCCCCGGGATGCCGAGCGCTTCCCTGCCGGGGCTCTCGGCGCCCCAGGGCTGACTTTTCGCCCTCTTCCAGCCGCTGCGCCCTGGGGCCTGGAAAGCCTGCAGCCGGGAGGATTGGAGGGAGCCAGGTCTGGAGATGTTTCCAGAAGGTGCCTCGGGCCGGGCCCTGAGAGAGGCTCGGCCGCTGCACAGAGTGAAGGGAGGCCCCAGGCTGCCCCGAGAGAGGCGGCGGTGGCGGCAGGGTCTGCGCCCTGGAACTGTGAGCTCAGGAACGGGTCTTAGACAAAGTAAAGTGTGTGTGTGTGTGTGTGTGTGTGTGTGTGTGTGTGTGTGTGTGTGTGTGTGTGTGTGTCTGTGTCTGTGTCTGTGTGTCTGTGTGTGTGTCTGTCTGTGTGTCTGTGTGTCTGTGTGTGTGTCTGTGTTTTACACCCGAGAGCGGGGCCACATACAGGCCAGGCGCATGGGGAGGACACGGCCCTGGCTTTCAGAGATGGGGACTTAGTGGGAACCCACAGGCCTCAAGGTAGGTCGGAACGCCCCGCGGCAGGACTGCGGGCGGCTGTCCTAGGGCCTGGCCTCGAGTTGGTCCCCAAGGCCAGTTCTCTCCCTCACTGCTACTCCATCTCTGCCCTCTGCTGTCCAGGCAGCTGTGAGGACGGCTTCCTGCAGGGTGCCTCCCCGCTGGCGTCCCCGAGAGATTCCCCGAAGGGGTCTCCGGTACCGGGCCTAGCCCGGACAGGGACCCCGCTACCCGCGCCGCAGGCCCCGAGGGTGGATCTGCAAGGAGCGGAGCTCTGGAAGCGCTTTCACGAAATAGGCACGGAGATGATCATCACGAAAGCCGGCAGGTAAACTTGTGCTCCCCAGGGTGCTCCTGGATTCTGGGTTCATCTTACCCTTCTCCTGGCCATAGCTGTGACCTATCCAAAAGGGCCCTGGACAGTAGGCCCCTTTTTTTTTTAGAGCTTTGGTTGCCTTCTTTACCGAAGCGCTGTGGATGAACAGGGCCCAGTCTTGCTAAAGGTCAGGGAGATCTTTGTCACTATGGATGTTACAGCCTTAGCTGTGGATGCTCTGAGTAAGGGAGTGCGGGCTGGTTATGCCAGGTCATGTGTACCCCAGTCTGCATTTAAGGCTCTAATTATCTGTCCTGAACTAAGTAATAGATTCACCCTTCCCGCTTTAGTTATTTTTAATTCTTATTTTCTTTTGCATACTCTGATTTTTTTATTTTTATTTATTTTTTATTTTTATTCAAAACTCCCCTGCTGGTCCTGGACCATGAGCTCATAGTGTATTGTGCTATTCTGATATTAGGTAGCCACGGTCATATTTAATCATGTATTGCTGTAAAAATCATCATTATTATTATAGCAACACACACACAAAATCCAGCCCATCACCTTAAATTTACTGAATACAAAAACATTTGGAAGGAAATTAGCTTTTAGACTACCTGATTTGTGCATCCTTCGTTAGTCAAATAAATGAATTAGTTGGCCACATCATAATAATTTGAGGTCGATGAGAGAAATTTGCGCTTTCAAGTTTTCAGCTCATTTAGTACATTTAGAATCATGAACCCTAATAATAATATGTTCCTTTTAAAGGTTCTTTAAAAAGCACACACAACTCTTTCAGGGAGTACACATGGTAAAAACCTGGGTAGCATAAAAGTATCCAAACTATTAGAAATTACCAAAACATATTTTATTGAATCCATATGCTACCTTTTGCATTCTCAGGGAGGTTTTTGGTTTTTTTGTTTTGTTTTGTTTGTTTGTTTGTTGTTTTGGTTTTTTCAATTAATGATCCAAATGCAGTCTTCAGCAACACAAAGCAACAGTTGTCTTATAAAGGATGTAGTTAAAGACCTTTCCTCTTTATCTTACAGGTGCCTTGAAAGAACACTAACACAGCCAGCATATTAAACTGCTCATCTTCATGTTAGTTAATATTGATGGACTTTCCTTTGTCCATCAGTGGTCTTTAATAGCATTGTTGTTTTTTTAAAAAAAAGTAGATAAATTTGTGTTATAAGGTTACATGAACAAAACTGAGCTTATTTGGAGGGTCCTAGACATAAATCATTAGAAGAAAGTCTTTTTTTTTTTTTTAAGGGTGAAACTTATGTTGTTTTTAATACACAGTAATGCCATGTTGTATTCCTTGCTTCTGTGGCCCCCTTTAAAGGGGATTATGTGCCTTTACTTCAGCCTCTCCTTTGATATACATAACAGGGAAGTCAAAAGAAAAATGAAATTTTCATTTGCTTTAATTAGCAGTAATTGTGGTTAGAAAAGAAAACATTTTTGGGTTACGGCAAGGGGAAGGAAATTCGTAAATATATGTTGTGTTTAGTTTCTGCTTCCAATAAAGAAGTTTTACTATACCTTTCAAATTTAGAGCGCCTTTTGCACTTTACCTTACCAGGCTGCAGACAGGAAGTCCTGTCTCAATAAAGAACATATTGTTTGGTTATAGCATGGCACATTGGCTCCTTGTGGGATTTTTATAACCCCCTTTAAAATTTCACATTATAATATATTTTATCACTTTCAGAAATTTGAAATTTCTATCAATGATGTATTTCATTATTTGTAGTAAGAGAAATAGGCTTGTTGGTTTTGCTTCAAAAGTAAAGTTTCTTCGGTGTAAAATCCTTTCACTTTTAAGATACATCGATGTTTCAATAAACACAGAACATGTACGGTGCAACAGATCACATTTTTAAGGTTGTAGTTTTGATGTAGCCTATGCTCTGACACCCGGAGTTATGTTATCTAAGTGAGTGTGATAAATTTGTCTACATTAAAATGGAAATTAGACTTTATTCCGTTTCTAGTCTTAATCTCGAGCAAAACAAAACCCAATCCCCGTTTCTCCCTCCCTTCCATTACAAACAGGCGCATGTTTCCAGCAATGCGAGTGAAGATCTCAGGATTAGATCCTCACCAGCAGTATTACATTGCCATGGATATTGTGCCAGTGGATAACAAGAGATACAGGTATGATGACCGCAAGCAGAGCCATAGCAACACCGAGAAGCTGTGGTCTACTGCCTGTCTCATCCACACCCTTGCGGTCTTTGTAGAATTTCCAGATTCGCGATCTAACTCCCATGGGCTCTAGAAGCTCGAATGGTGCTTCTCCCCTAGAATATGTGGAAACTCGGTGTTTGTTTTGTTTTTAGTAGGTGAAGAGATGTCTTTAGTCTTTGAGACTGTGAGCAGGATCCAGTTTGGCGTTGCTGAGTAAACTCTATGTTTAATGCTGGTTAGCAGTTGAGTTAGAATTTTGATATGAAGTGTTTAATGGAAAGTTTGCAGATACACTTTATAGTAAGTGTTATATTTTTGCTCTTATGTTAATTTTCTTGTTATATTAAAAATAATTATGTATTTTAGACTTTCATTTAAAAAAAGTGTTTGCAAGTTAGAAAAATAAAATCTCATAATTCGTTGTGACATTAAATCATTCTCTAAACTTGTAGTGAATTGTTACCCCTGGCCTTGTTTTTAGGTTGGTAATTGACAATTCTTTAAAATTTTCTATTGAATTTTGAAACAGAATATATTTGTCTGTGCATCAAGTAAACTCGGAAAAGATAATCAATTCTTTAGTTTCAAACTGTCTTTACTTAGGCAAGAAAGCTAGTTAGTGATTTTCAATGACAATGCTTTTCCCTTGTTGGAAAAGTTTGAAATGCTAATCTGTTTAAAAGGAAGTTTGAGAGTTTGGGAGATCAGGAGATGGGTCTCTGAAAATTTCTTTTTCATTTAGTATTGATCTAAATGAAATAATTTGGTTTCTCTCACTTTTTAAAAAATGGGTGCTAGTTTTAATAAAAAAAGAGTTTTTTGATCTCAAAAATATTTAAATTTAAATTTGTATATGAGCCTAGAATATACTAAAACTGTTGAGTATAGTAGTTTTATTGTGTTTTCTACTCAAGTTATATTCTTCTAATTAAACAAGTCATTAGAAATTTTGCTCCCATTATCTACTGACTAGCAGAAAGTAGAACATATTAAGTTTACTCATTAAATATACATGATTTTAAACCATTTTCTAATTTGAGTTTTGTGTTAAGGTACATAATATAATTTTTAATGAGTTTCTATTCTGTTTCTTCGTCCAGTTTTCCCCCTTATATTTTAGATTCTTTGTTTTACACAATTCATATTTACTCTCACAGAGAGCAATGAAAATTTAGATCTTGGTAGATCAAACTGTGAAACACACAATTGCTTTCTTCCATTGCTCCCTAACATACATTTAGCTTTGGTATTTAGACTGCTTTATGAGGAATGTTTATATGTACAGTTTATTTTCTTAGAGAGTATTGGATTTTGAACTATTTAATATGCATAATTTTTCAAGGTTTTGATAAAGCATTTTTATTTATTTTGGTAGAAACCCAAGTCTTATCTCAAGTGCTTTTTTCCCCATGCATCTCTAAGGTTTCTATTTTATTTTACAACTTGTTTCATCAGTATCAGAAATTACTTTTTGACTTATTCTGTCAAAGAAAGGTATTTGGTCCAAGTTAAAAGCATTATAAAAAATGAATAGTCACAAAAGCTCATAAGAATTTGTTTATTAAAGCCATACCATATCAATTAAAGGAAGGATTTAAAAATTAATTTAAATGCTGAACTTACATAATTTGCTTCAAGCAAAGGAATTAAAATCCGCAAGGGACATTGATCTTAAAATTCATCTAAGACAAAGAACTTCACCAAAGTTACATGTAGGGAAGTGTTTCATGCTTTTTTATGAACGATGTGTGTTTGTGACAGGTATTTCTGACACTATCTGGATTTATCACTGTAAATTGTGTTCGGTATCTTAACACATGAGCTGGAGGCAATATATCCAAATGTATAATCTCACTCCATCATTTCACTATGCTTTCTAGTTCTTAAATTCACATTGTTAGATAATAATCTGAATAGTCAGCTAAATTTAAAGATTTTTCATCTGTTCCTGGAAATTTACTATTTAAATGTTTTTCTTGCTAAGTCAATTTATTCGTGTATATATATATAAAAAAGCAGAATAAGCTGTTGTGGTTTTTTACTGTGAAAATAACATTAATTGCCTGTACAAATTGAGAGCATTTTGCATGTTGAATGTTGGTAGTTGGAAACTAGTGTTTGCTAACTGAAGTAATTTTCTTAGAATGGTTAAGAAGGAGAAGCATGGATGATTAATGATAGCCTATATTTTATAACTCCTCAACAATTTAAATTAGCCTGAATTATTTTATCCTGTAAGTATAACATTGAAGAATTGGGGAAAATGATCCTAAATGTTAAAATGATTAACTTTCCCCCTCCCCAAACCTTCACCAAAAAACAATGTGACAGTTTCCTCCACTGATTTTTCCACCAGGCTGTACAGAGCCAAAAAGGGAGTGACCTTTAAAATAAGACACTGAAATTTACAGAGATTTACTCAGAGGTGAGATTGATGACTTCATAGTGTCTTTGTGTCAATGAAATATTCAGATGAAAAATATCAGACTATCAGTTAGGTCCTATTGTAAGTGTAATGCATTGGAGTCAAGATGCTTTGTGTTTATGGGAGAGACAGCCTGTATATCTTCACTAAGCCCCACAGTACAATCTCAGAATTATTTAAAGGCTTCTTTGGGTGTATAGAGAATTAAGTTTATATTCAGAAAAGCATGTTCGTTTGGTTTTAGTTGCTAATTCCAAGAACTGGGGTAGTACGTTCACAGTTGGACAATTTTGTCTTTGCCTTGTAGGTATGTTTACCATAGCTCTAAATGGATGGTGGCAGGCAATGCTGATTCCCCTGTGCCACCCAGGGTGTATATTCACCCAGACTCACCTGCCTCTGGGGAGACTTGGATGCGACAAGTGGTTAGCTTCGACAAGCTGAAGCTTACCAACAATGAACTGGATGATCAAGGCCATGTAAGTACACAGCCTCCTGCAAGAACCAGCAGGCGACATTGCCCAGTGTCAGGCTAAAATATGCTAAGATTGCAACACCCCTTTCTGTTTGGTCAGTATATGCCAAATCAAGTTTATATTTGTACCAGAGACCATGTCCATAACTGAAGTGTCTCATAAAGCAGTATCTGGTTTAAGCCAGATACTGGCTTTGTTTTGGAATGAAGGGACCCAAGGCAGTGACTTTAAAAAAAAATTTATGTGAAATCCCACGAGGTACTAATTATTATACTTGAAATGTGCTTGGAAGTTTGGTAAAAGAAATGATTTATTGTGTCCTCTCTGTATCCAGCTCTTTTCCCAGTGGAGGCTCAGGGCAGTCAGTAATGACCCAGGCTTACGTTGTTTGTGTGCTCCATCTGCAAGTTTCCAATTGTTTTGTAATGACATCTAATGTGTCGAAGTATATTATAATTCCCTTTACTCCTAAAACTGCTGAAACCTGATATGTGGGACCAGTCCAGCTGTTTCAGAAAGACAGTCATTGTTAACAGCTTGCTGACTTTAGGCAGGATTCTACATTATTGTTTTAATAGCTCACTGACTCTGGATACTGCGCATTTCTGTTCAAAGCTAGCCTTTTTGTTAGATGTCTGTTAGTAGAGTTTAGATTAAGAAGAATTGAAATGCCTTTACCAACTTCCTCATGTCCCAAACAAAGAAGATACCTAGCTTATTCAGAAATAAGTCACTTAAAACGGCGAACTGTAATGAGCACTAATACAGTGCTTGTGCTGTGGTTTGCAGGTGTCTAGATGAGAACCTTGGGGTACTAACCATTCTGTGACAAACGCAGTGTCACAGCTAGTAAGATTTCACACGGCAGTGCTTCATGGTTGCCTTTATGACTTAAGTCAGAATCAGGGAAAGAAGATGTTTCATTTCTTCATATATTTTCTATATGACTTCACATTCCTTCTTTTTATTTTTTATAATCCCATAATCAAGTTGTAAGAAGTATTGTTCACTTAGTTTCAGTGTGAAAACATATCAGGTTCCTCTGTCTGACTGAACTCTTGCTAGCACACGCATCTTGGGGGGGGGGAACTATTCTTCTGCCTTTTAGTAAGAAATTTAGACAAATTTGTGTTTTGTGTTGCTTGCTTTCAAAACCTAAAGCATGTCGCACTTTCTGAATTCTATAGTTTAGAAATATATTTTAAAAGAGATAATTATAGCTCAAACTATATTCTGATGAAAATTCAAATCAATATGTAATCATCTTATAATTCTAAGTCTTTTAGTTCAGACTATTTACTGGCTTTATACATGGTATGTAGCATACCAAATTTTATATATATTTTTAGAAATGTAACTATGATTTTTAGATTTGCTTTTATGTAAAAGAACATTCTCCAGAAAATATAATATATATGTATGTGTACTACATCTGTACATACAGAGAAGATAGTTATATATGGAATATTCCTTTACACTATGTGTATGTGAGAGAGAGGAGACAGAGAGAAGAAAGAGACAGAGGTAGGAGAGAGTACAGGAAGAGAGGAGGGACAGGGGAGAGAGAAAGATGGGATAAATATGACTATTGCTTCATGTGATTGTGGAAGAGTTGAAGTTGTGACTTGCATCTGAAGGTAGTCTGGTATCAGAATGTTGTCATCTTCCAGGGACTTTACTGTTTTCTCTCTTAGGGCCTTCAACTGATTGGATGATGGCCACTCACTTCTACAGAGACTAATTTGCTTTCCAAAGAGTCTACTGATTGTTTTTCTCTAAGCCATACTTTCACAGCGATATCTTTGGTGCTGTTGGGTCAAAAATATGGATATTGTGTCCTCGCCAAGCTAACAGATAAAATTAACCATCACACAGTGTTTGTTTAAAACATAAGAGAATAGTTCCAAATTGAAGTTGAGTGTCTTGGACCTAAATAAAGAATCTCACTATTAAGAAAATTTACAAAAGCAGCAAAGAACAATCAAAATTAAGGAAATGTTCTGTCTGCTGGTGAATTTTTTTCTCTTAAGGTTGTGATGGGATGCACTAAATTAAGAGATTAAAAAGAATGCACACAGGGAACACTGTGGGGGAAGTACTCTTTCACGGTACTCAACTCACAAATGTGTTAAATGTGATCAAGGACACTGAAGGCAGGGACTGGCTTCATGAGTTTCATGCATAGATAGAATGAGAAGGGAGCCTGCAGATGGCTGTCCTGTCTGTTTATTGAGGTACAGATGTACTTCATCCCAGCTCATTCCCCAAACCGGGAGGGACACCAGAAGTCTCCTGCTGTGAGGACTACATTTGATGGCCCAGTGGAAGCAGATTAGAGATTGGGGACATGCTTATAATTCTGCTGCCATTTGGGTCTCAGAAGGCAGTACTGTCATGGTGGAACCTTAGCAGAGACTCCCAGGGACATCTGCCTTTTGCTTTCCATCATTCCACCAATTGTAAAAGAAGTCATTGTCACCTCCAATAAAGTTGCATGCACCATAGTTAATTTCCTAAATTCCTTTCCTATGTTTTAATCTCACCCCTCCCCCCCAATTGTACTGTGCTAAAGGTGCACATGTATATAGCTTTGTGATGGGTGAACTCTGTGGCTCTGGGAGTTTTACTAAATTAGCATAAGGTAATCACAGTAATCAAAGTCTTGTAGGCAGTCACTAGACTTGTGACCACATGAGATAATGTGTTTTCTCTAAAGTAACTTTTCAGCCTCCCAAGTACCAGACCTGGTTCATGAAAGAAAATTAAGGAGAAGTCAGGGTGTCGGTATCCTTCAGAGCCATAGCTAATCCTTGAATATTGTGGTAAATTGTAGGCCTGATTTGATCCTTGAGGATTCTAGCCAGCTTTCTGCTAGCTTTGGTAGACACCCAGTCTGGTTCTTGGGCTGCTCTTGTACAGGGGGTTCATATGTTTGGTGATAATTTCTCACCACATGCATGCTTCCTTATTTACCTGCCATCTGTCCTTTGGAGAAAAGCGTTGATATGAGCATCTCTCTGAAAAGGAAGACATTTGACAGTGTACCTTAAATGACAGCAGTATAATACCTATAGTCCTGGATGTAGGCCCTGGCAAGTAGCCATAGTCATGGGCTTGTGGGAGGCCTATGTCTCTACTGCTGACAATTTTGTGACACACCTGCTCACACTCTTATTGTTCCTCCTTGAACATCCAGACTGGGAAGCAGGGTGGTACAGGAGAGGTAGCTGAACTCTCTCATGGGGAAGGAAGCTGGAATCGCTGTGGACACCATATCAGCGATCCCAGGCAAGTCCGTTCCACTCTCTGAGGCCTTGTTTCCTTGTGGGTCATATTGGAATTAGAGATCCAAGGAAGCTGGCAAACTTGAAGGATGTATTTAAGAAGGGCCTGAAACACTATCCCATAAGAACAAAAGGGAAAAAGCTACTTTGTCTGAGATTGACTGATAACGTTTCAACACTGTTTAAAGTGAGGCACAGTTGGTGTAACAAGCCACATAGGAAGTGGGGTGGGGTGGGGTGGTGGGGTTAACCTGATCCTTTTAGGTCCTTTGCTTGGCCTAATCCAATCTATTGTTTCTTCTCTCATAGATTAAATCCTGACCACAATTTCCCCTCCCTCCTCTCCTCCTAGCCTCCACCTCTCCCCAAGATTTGCTCCTTTTCCTTTCCCTTCAGAAAAGGGCAGGACTTCCAGGGATATCAATGAAACTCAGCATATCAAGCTATAATAAGAAGACTAGGTACAAGCCTAATAGACTCTTGAGTTTGTCATCTAGAAAAATTTTAGTTTTCAACAAATTCCACTATCAAGCTGTAAAATTAGAAGCCTTATCTGTCAGACTTCAAGCTCTTGTCAGATAAGTAAGCATGCTTCTTTTGATGTAAGTACTTTATGATTAATTAATTAATTAGCAGTGTTAGAGGTTAATCCCAGGGCAAATGCTTTACTACTGAGCCACATCCAAACCCCTCAAATCCAGTCTTTAAAGTGCAAAAGCATGTTTAAGCCTATGAATGGAACACACTGTATCTGTGGACATAGGGCTGTGTGGCTTTTCTAATATTATAGTTAGTCCCCTGCCCAAATCCTGTCTAAATAAATCAGACAGTACATAAACTACACACAAGATATGATTATTTGAACTGTAATTATGGTCCCTTTTTAAAAAGGCCAGTGGTCCTACATATCCCACTAAGTAAGCAAAATATTTACTACTATGATAAACGGGACTGTTAGTTGTGTTTATTCATTTAGTGGGTATTGAGGTTTTGCATCCCTGTATGCCTTTGCATAAGTCTAGAGGTCAGAGTATACCTTGCAAGAGCTGATCTCTCTTTCCACCCTGTGGGGACCCCAAGATGGAAGCTCAGGTGGCCAGGGAGCACAGTCCTAACAAGACAAGTCCGTAAACAGGAACTTTTGCTACCTCCATTCCAAATCACTTCGTCCAAATGCTCTGAAGTTGGCTGGGCACTTTGCTTATTTGCATGGAATTTTTATGTCTTTGATTTTTTTTTTTTTCCTGCTCTGGAAATCACTTCTAATGGGGTGGTGATTCTCTCTCTTGGAGTTTCTAGATGCTGCCATATGTGAGCCACTGACATTGTGATTCTTAACTTGGGGAGGAGGAAGAGTTCTCCTTCAAACATTTCAACCCCCAAAGATATCTATTGCAACACAGTTTTCTGAAGAGAAAGTTAAACAGAGGAGTGCAAGGTTGAATGAACATTAAAGTTATTTCTTTAAAAGTGATCGTTTACTATTTTAGGTTATCGTTGAAAAGAGTGTGTGATTACAATAATAAGTCATAGGAAAGGGACCATGGCAGTTAGGCTTGCAGTTGGGGTTGAGACACAAGCTGCATCCACAGGGATTCAAAGCCATTCTTGTGTTCCCTTTATTGGATATGGCCGAGGGACTGTGCCTACCCACATAGCATAAATTCATAAGGAAGGTATGTAGACAGGAAGGGAAAGAAAACTGGCTCTGGGCCTAGGGAGCTGTGGGGACTTGGAAGTCTCTAGAAACTGTAGAACTTTCCAGTAAAAGAAAAGTTGAGATTTGGAAATATCATGCAGAACCCTAAATATTAAACAGCTATACTTCTACTGAATCAGGGAATAGAACGAGGCTTCCCGCTCTGGCGCTCCCCTCCCCAAGCATAGCCAAAACAAGACAAAACAAAACCCATGCAAGGATATAAAATGCATTAAGAATAGAAGCTTAGATTTTTTTTTATCTGTTAAAAACAGATTTAGTGGGCATAATATAGTAATAAGGAAATAATTAAATTTCCTCATCCACTGAAAGTCTGTTGCCAGGCTATGCTAATGGTTAGACTCTTAGTAGAATTTCATTTTTGCATTTTCCAAACTTGTATCCTGGGTCACAGCAAGGCATACCTTTCATAGGATGGCTGTGTGCACACCTACACACAGCCAACAAAAACTTTTGAAAAAAAAATTGTACCTATCATGGTACAGGCAGCACCCTGTTTACTACTGTATTTTATAGTTTTATTTATTTAAAACTTATTTTGGTCAAAGCTACTAATAGTTCATCCAAATTCTGCCCTTAGTCCTAGAAAGAGGCAGTGGATTGCTTCTTCCCCCAACCCCCACCCCATTAGGGTTGCTTCTTTTGCATGTTCTTATATTCATGCTGCCTCCCTCAAAGGCATGCCTGGTTGGCAAGATCCTTAGATCAGCTTCTCAAAGTGTGTTTGCCATTGACAAAGAAAGAAACAAAAACAAAGCTGCTGGCTGCAGTGTTGGCTATTCTGAGGGTAAAGGCCTGCTCTCCTGACAGCAGCCACAGTACAGGGCTGTCTGTGTTTGAGGTGACCAAAGGCTCTGAAGGTGGCTTACTGAACTGCCTACATTCCGAACAACATGACACATCTCAAACACTGTGTTTCCCATGACCTTTGTTTGGGCATTTTCCTTCTAGGATTTTTAATTTAAAGCTTAGAGTTCAGAAAAGTTGCACACTTGTTAGCTAAAGTAATTTATGAATATCTGAATACAAATGCCAAGAAATAAGAAACCTGCTGTCCATGAAAGTATTAAAACATAAAAGGCATATGTATGCACATGCATGTGTGCATACTTGAGCACAAACACCCCCCACACACATACACACCTGTGCACACATGCACATATACATCCCTTCCTGTGATGCCATCATCAGAAGTGATCACTGTTTGTATCTCTATATGAGTCCACTGTACTCTTTTAATAAACTGTAAAATATGTCTACACATTTAGGTACTGTTTTATCATTTTAAGATTAAAAATAAAGCTGGGGGTGGTGACACACACATTTAATCCCAGCCCTGGGGAGGCAGAGGGTAAATGGATCTCTGAGTTCAAGGCCAATCTGGTCTACAAAGCAAGTTCCAGGATGGACAGGCCTGTTACACAAAGAAACACTGTTGAGAGAGAGAGAGAGAGAGAGAGAGAGAGAGAGAGAGAGAGAGAGAGAGAAAGAGAGAGAGAGAGAGATTTTATTATATGACTGAAATTTGCCTAAACAGCATTAGCTGTTATATTGTGATACCTCGTCTCACAATATAAATTTCTATTGGTACCTACTAATCTACTCATACAAGTAGCTTATAGTTCTTTCACGGCCATACATTATCTAATACACACCCTGTTATATGAAAAACTCAGGACCAATCTGGGTGGGATTGTGGAGACCACATGAGAGACTCAGGGCAGGATAGGGTCTCCATTCTCCAGTCTGAGATTTGAACAGGAGCATGGGCATTCTACTCTTCCAACAAACTAACGACTTTGCAGAACAAACACAGGAGATGGTGGATGTTCTCAGTGTGTGTGCGCTATCACCGATGAAGGAACAACTCCCTTGGAATTTGAAAGTCTTTGTGTATCATTTAGGAGATGCATTTGGTCCAAAGCACATGGTCATTTCAATCTCATTTTTAGTTTCATTGGTATTGACTCTGGTCTAATTCATCTCATTATACATACAATATTTATGAATATATTATCGTGCTTTAAGTAATAGAAATTTGATGTTGACTTCACATGGCTACAGAGAGGATTTCACTGAAGAGGTTTGCATTTTTATATAAACGTTACAGATGTCTTCCTCACCTTTCCCTGTAGCTTTGCCTGATTTTGTTAAATTAACTTCCTGTGTTTTTAGAAATGCAACTTTCCTGCAAGAATTTATTTTCCATGTTGACATATTTGTTCATTTTCAGATTGGGAGTGGTTCCTGTTTAATGTGTTTTTTTCCCCTTGATCTAGATCATTCTTCATTCTATGCACAAATACCAGCCACGTGTGCATGTCATTCGCAAAGACTGTGGGGACGATCTTTCGCCCATCAAGCCTGTTCCTTCTGGGGAGGGAGTGAAGGCTTTCTCCTTCCCAGAAACAGTCTTCACGACTGTCACCGCCTATCAGAATCAGCAGGTATTGCTTTCAGCAGTCCTCTTGCTAGACTCCTACTTTCTGTATTGCTGTATCCAAATGTCAGGAATCATCATAAACCATTCCTTATACATGACACCCACAGTGTATACAAGCATGCACACAGGGGCAACTCCTAGTCCAAAAATTCCCAAGCAGGTTACTCTAGTGAGGACTTAAACCATGTATATATCTTGCAGTGTAGTTTTACTTTCCATCTTGAGATTTGGAATCATAGTGTCATAATTAATTACAATTAAAAAGCATGTTATTTGCCTAGAAAATAGATACCTAAAGTATGAAAAGCTAGTTGTATCTTAGAGCATGAAGTGTGGTTTTGATACTACAGCTGATGAATTATAAGAAAATGTTTAGCAGGAGGATTTTTTCCTATACGTTTCTTTTCTTTATTTTTAAAGGGGTTTTTCATTTAGCCATAATTCAAACTATTGTACAGAGTACTGATATGCATTATAGTCCGAGAGATGGGCAATTTTGAAGTGATACTTTTATAATGGTTTAAGTAATCTGAGAAGTGGAATGTTTCTTTTCTATATGGACAAATGGTTGTTGTTTGTTTAAAGTTGTTTTATATGAGTCAGGAGTGTGAGTGTCAAACCCTCTTACTGGTTGACTGATGCAGATACACATGTGTGCGCACACGCATGGATGCAGATACATACATACACACACACAGCACATTGTGATGCCGGGCATACTGGCAAAACAGTTAAGAGTCAACAAATTTGAATGGGAATGGACAATGCTGCCACACCCAGTTTTAATTTTTTAGAACTATAATTTTTAAGAATTTAGAAAACTGATAGACTCTTCTGGCTAATATCAATGTGATTTCTATAGCCAGGATTCCTGGGCCATTGTATGTAAAAATTGCTTTAAAAGAAAACATAAAACTGGGATAATAACTGCATATAAGTTTCTATATATCAAGTGAGGTGTTTGGACAAAACTCAGTATGGCATACCTTTTCTATGTTGAGTAAATAGCATTAAAAGTAGTGATAGAACTATATTTTTGTTTAGAAAGTTGCTGTTGTATAAATCTATACTCTTATAACTTAAATGAACAGAGCTGAGCTTTAATAACATCTGCAATAGAAAATTCCCTTCAGTGATAGAATGTCATATATGATAAATTAATCAGCAAGCTTTCATAACACCCTTTATAATGTAGTTATATCCATACACCAAGACAATATCTTACGGGACTTGTGTGTCTGAAATATTGCAGTGCCAATAAGGCTGAGGCCATGCACAGGCCAGCAAGGGAGTCTCCAGGGAGGCCTTGCATTTCCTCAATGCTGTGTAGCCGGTCTCATTCTTAGCAGGTTAATGTAATCACAAGCATGCTCATTAACGTCATAGATTTCATTAAGACCAGGAATTGAGAAAGCAAAATACAAGGAAATACAAGGAATAGGCTCTGCATTCCTCAGATCTACCAAGAAACAGAAGAGTGTTACTTAAAATGTCAAGTTTAGGATGGCATGAGTCCAAACCAAAATTAACGGAGATGCTGACGTTATAAGTTCCTTTCTTTTAAACCTTGAGATCTTAGTGAACAAGGAGCCAGTTTTGAGGCAACAACTTGAAACTACTTAGAATTAAGTATTTTTAAATTAGTATTTATTTCTACCACTTTAATATGATTTTGTTCTGTTAGAAAATTTTAAGTCATAATCACCTCTGTTTAGACGTTCAGGATAGTTTCAAGACCAGCTAGTACTGTACAGATGAGAGATAAAAGAATAAACACAAAGGGTAAGGGAGAGGCAAGAAAAATGTGTGGCAATAACGTTAGGGAGCATGGAAACTCCCGATTATGAAGAAGGGAAACAAGCTTGCCAATAAATGTAGGTTGCTGAATGACCTCTGACTCCCAGCGCTACAAGATAATCGGGGTTAAACCATATCCTAGAGTCAAAGGGAGTGACTTCAGTTTGAGAGGATGGTCGAATAGGACAAAGCAGCAGGAGGCTATTCAGGTTCCCTCTGCAGACATTCAAAAAGAGCCTTTATCCATGTATTAAGGTGGAAAATGAGTGAAGAAGTATCTCACAGCAGGTGGCTATTCTAGATGACTTCTGAAATCTTTTACCTACACTGCCGGGGTATTGAAACATATGAGAGAGGAACACAAAAGAACCCTCTGTTTATTTTTGGATTGGTGGTAGTTCTACAGTTATTCTTAACTTTTAAATAATTTTAAATAATTCCATGTGATGTTTATGTAACATTTAATGTGATTTCTTCTCTACTCTGCAGATTACTCGCCTTAAGATAGACAGGAATCCATTTGCCAAAGGTTTCCGAGACTCTGGAAGGAACAGGCAAGTCCTTGTTAAATCTCCAGGTTGTTCTAGTAAATATATTAAAGTTGTAATGTAATTTTTTTCCATTATGAGCTTAAAGGTTAGCTTAGTAAACATAGGGTTGCAATCACTTCTGATGTGACATTAAGTCAGTAAACACTATTGTGTCTTGGAGGTAACTTAGGTATAGAGTGTAGTCATGTGTCCTGCCCTAAGATGAACTTTAATGCATGAGGCTGGAGTGAATATGCTAGCTTTTGGCATGTAGACTGCATGTTATTTCTGGAGAGGCCATGGAGAAACCTATTTTTATGGCCCATGGGCCTTCATAGTCCATAAAAATCGTCCTTTCTGCCTCTTCTTTTGGTAATGTTCTTAATGATGACACAATGTCTATTGATTCTGTCTGAAGAGTATGATAGTCTCTTATTAACTCTGACTTTCAACTATAATATGAAAGCATTTCACACTGCCAAGAGATCTGATCCTCTTCAGTTTCCAAATTTGTCTTGCTCCACTGACAGTCACATACCTGCTTTTTTTTTTTTTTTTTTTTTTTTTTTTCCCCTGTGTTGTGCTTTACGGTGTTTGTACTAAGTGGGATAACTACAACAATTAATTCCACTCTATTACTTTTATCATCGGTCTGTTAACTACAAGTTTCTATTATTGATGTGACTCTGTTCCAGTGCAGTTCAGTGTCACAGTATTACATTTTCTAATATACTGCTAGTCATAGAGGATAATAATAGAGGAACATTTTCTGGTGCCTTTTCTGGTAAAGTTTTGATATGCATACTTCTAAATATGTTTTTATGACAAGAGGAATTTGAACTTTATTACTTCGCTCCCCAAATTGTCCTGGTATGTTTTGAAATTGGCATTTACTAGGTTTGTCTACATGAACTGAAACCCCTCAATTATCAACAAACAGTTTCACTTGAAAATTTAGAAGGAAAAGCAATCAGATAATAGTCTAGATTTTCTAGGGTTTTAAGCGGACCAGGTGGTCAAGATAGGTGACAGATAGGTCTCAAATTGTGCTCAGTTGCTAAAGAGACTTGGTGTCATCCTCATTTACAGTCACATTACCTAAACGACACATAGTTAAAGTACTAAAAGGCAACTAAGAGACTAAGAGTCAGTGAGGCTGCAGTGACCTTCCAATGAGGGTTAGGAGGATCAAGACTGACCAATAAGAGAGAGAGTGTTTTGAAGTGTTTCACACTATGAGACAGTTTGCAGGTAATAACAAATTCATCTCCTGCATTGAAATTGCATTGCTTTATGTCTTTTTGGATATGTTTCAGTGTGGTGAAAAGTTGTGCCTGGCGTTTTTTTTTTTTTTTTTTTTTTTTATGCTCTTGGTTATCTTGCTTTGCAGGGATGTGTTTGAAAATTGAGTGAAAGCCATAGTTTAGTAGCCGGAAAATCATGAGTGCAGTGACTATTCTGCCTTGGGAAATGCTTGGGTGAACCTTCTTGTGAACTTAGGTCATATCAGAACAAAGTTTTAGAGCCTTGCATTGACTTTAGTTAATTTTTTTCTTAAGCAGAAAAATGTATTAAAACTCCTATAGGAGGGCCACACTCAGGCTTTGAGAGTAAATACCAGAAACCATGCCCAAGTTGCTGTTTAGTCTGGGAAAGATGTAACTACTACTGGCACTGGAGAGAAGTTCACTTATAAGGCAATGGCTTATTAATAGTATTAAAGTGTATTTTGGACAAAACACAATAACAGGTGGAGCCTCTATTAGAAGCTAGGTAATGGGTTCATAGGATAAATTTTTTTTCTCTTTTTTCCCATAGGATAAATTTTGAGGTAGAATTCTAGATATGCCAGCACAAAGAAAGATTTGATTATTTAAATCATGCCATTACAAATACTCTGTGCCGTGGGTGAAAGTAAACCACAAAGCCTGTTGTTCAGTTTGGAAGCCACAGGCTAGGTTTGACATGGATTCCCTTTCCCTTTGGCTGTTTGGAAGGAAATATGTAGGCTAGGAATCAAATTATGCTTTGTATTATTTTTTTTATTCCAATAAACCCTGTAGTGTTTTAAGTCAACACACAGAAATAATGAATTATATTTTAACACTCTGAATTTTGTTAAAATTCATAATTCTTAGTTTGCTCCAAGTGATTGTCTTGTTACAGACAAAGTGTGTTGTGTCTGCATAAAGCAGTGGTTCTCAACTTGTGGGTTGCAACCCCTTTGAGGGTCAAATAACCCTTTTACAGAGTTCGCCTAAGACCACAGAAAAACACATATGTTTACATTATGATTCATAGCAGTAGCAAAATTACAGCTATGAAGTAGCAATGAAAATAATTTTATGGTTGGGGGTCCCACAATATGGGGTACTGTATTAAAGGGTCATAGCATTAGGAAGGTTGAGAACCACTGCTTTAGAGATTTCTGGTTAATGGACTCAAGTTTCCATTCTTTCTCATGAAATACTGCTCCATATTTAAAAAAAAAAAATGACCTTAACGTGTGAAAAAGTCTGTCAATTTAAATAGTTCAAACTTATGCATTCTTTTCCTTTAAAAAAAACAAAACAAAACCAAAACAAAAACCTGTGTATAGTGTAATAGTTTTTCATATATTAATAGTCTATGAAAAATGCCCGCAATATTCCTTTATTTTTTCCTGGTTCTTCTAGGAAGTTTTACTGCTTTTAAAAACAAAATTGTATTTTTATTTTTCTCATATATGAAATAAACAAGTTGATCGGGATACAAACTAAACACAGGCATGTAATTGCCTAAGTTTTATAAAAACAATTCTGTTTAATTAAAAAGTGTCCTTCTCTGGCCACTCACAGCTCTGCAGCCTGTTTTACAGGAGTCAGTAGCTTCGGCCCTTGAAGCCCTCCTGCAGGCATTTGCTACGTGAGAGTGAATTTATGTGCTGAGAATATAGCTCCATTCCGCAGTTAGGCCTTAGGTTTGACCCTATAAAAGTTTTTACTCAGGAAGGTACAAAAATTTCTTCTCTTAAATACTTCAGGAAAAACATAACCATTTTACTAAATAAACTCAGCCATTTGATAGCATAAATGAGGGCGCTGGTAAATGTGGAGGTTGCTTGAAGGCACCTTGTATAAATTATCGCCTTGGCTACTCTCCTGCAGGAGGGGCCTTTCATCTTTCCTTTAACTAGATGGGAAAAGTCTCCATTACTGGAGAAAATGAAGGCTTTTTAACAAAAGTCCAGATTCAACTAATAAATATTTTTATAACTGTTTCCTGCAAAATATCTGAAATCCTTTGTGGAATTGGCAGTGTGAGGTGGCAGCCTCGGGCAACATGTCAATAACTCCCAATCAGAATGCTTGCAGTAGATATGCTCCCCCACCCCCAGCCATCACTTTAAACATAGGGTCATGTGTTTGCTATGCCCAGTAACTTCTCCCTACGATTGTGATTTGTGGATTTGAAACACAATTCAATTGAAATTGCTAAAACAAATAAAGCAGCAAAAACACATCGGTATGGTCTATAAACTTCTGGTTTTAGTAAAACTGTTTCATAATTAATTGTTATTTTCACTATCCCAAACTACCTTTATCCAAGTTAACCTGAGGATATATAGTAAGTGGTTTGTTTTTAAATAAAGATGTGTAGTAATTTTCTTTAACCAAAAAAAAAAAAAAAAAAAAAAAAAAAAAATTCTATCCTCTGAAAGTAGTAAAGATTTAGTATTGGTTTATGTGAAATACAGAGAGACCATCAAAGCAATACCCAACATTCATTAGTTCAGTATTAAATACAACCCACAGATAACCCTGTATTTGAGACAGACCAGGCTCACAAACTGCACAGAAAGGGATATTTTACTATAAAGAAAATATTATTGAGTTGTATGACCTCCGGGATTTGACTTGTAGTTTGGCCACAGATTTACAAAAAGTAAAGTAAAATAAAAACTAGTTAGAATGAAATGAATTATCCTGGATATAATAGGGCTTCAATTCTTCATAGTAATCTTCACTTCTCAGGAAGCTGAAATCCAGGGAAGGCAAGTAAGTTAGAGTGACTTGAAATCCCTGGCTCTTCTGATCCCAGGCTACTATCTTTACCCAAAGCAGTCTTTCTTGTGACATGTGATTACATCGGAGGTCAGATTCCATTCTTCCCACCCATGTAGCCCAGAAGAAATGGCTGGGGTTCTCCCTGTGGCAGACTGTCTTACATCTGTAAGGGCTGGTAATGCATTCTCTGAGACTGAAGAAATTAGTAAGGTCCTCATAGGAGCTCATGACAACAGTAGGCATATGCAGAAGGATGGCAATGTGAGATGTTTTGCCTGCATACATTGTTCCTGCTCTTTGAAGAGCTTTCACTGTGTTGGGGAGGTCATATGACTGGCAGGAGGTTTTCTCTAACCTTAGTTCTTAGTGATGGTTTGTGACTAGAGGGAGGCAGCAGCTGAGTTGAAAATAGTAAGAAATCCAACAGTTGTAAGAAAGGTCCAGGTGGTTAGTATTTTACCCAGAAGAAGGTTTTTGGTTCTGTAGTGCTGAGGATGGACCCAGGGCTTTGTACATGCTAGATGCACTGGTTGGGTTTTGGGTTAACTTGACAAGCTGGAGTCATCAGAGAGGAAGGAGCCTCAGCTGAGGAAATGCCTCCATGAGATTCAGCTGTAAGGCCTTTACTCCATTAGTGTCAATGAGGGAGGGCCCAGCCCATGGTATGGTACCATCCCTGGGCTGCTGGTCCTGGATTCTGTAAGAAAGCAGGCTGAGCAAGCCATGGGAAGCAAGCCAATAAGCAGCATCCCTCCATGGCTTCTGCATCAGCTCCTGCCTCCAGGATCCTGCCCTGCTTGAGTTCTTGTTGTGACTTCCTTAAGTGATGAAGAACAATAATGAAGTGTAAGGCAAATAAACCCTTTCCTCCCCATCTTGTTTTTTTGGTCATATTGTTTTGTTACATCAATAGAAACCATGACTAAGACATGAGATAAGTGGTAAACTACCAAGATGCACCCTGGCCTAGACCCATGTTATCTCTCTAACAAATTGCTTAGAGTTTAAGTGGTTGCAGATGAGGCTGTTTTGAGAATGGCTAATTGAGGGAAAGGCTCAATCCCAGATCTCAGATTGAATTCTTTAGCCAGCACATATAAGAGGAAAAAAAGACTGAATTATTTATTGTAGGAAGTTATGTTTGTGCTTAGAGTAGTGGTTTTTGTTTTCAAATATACAGATGAGTTATAAATAGTCTGCAGCCAAGTTGTCACTTTACACATCAATTCATTAAGTGTGTATGGTGAGGCTGTATAATAACTTATACTGTTGCTACTAACTCTGTGGCTCTGGAGATTACCTCCTACCCTGCAAAGCTGAGTGGGAGCTCAGTGCTGCCCACTCCTGCCTGGTTGGTAGTGGGGGATGGCCCCAGAGTAGAAGTTGGTTTTCTTTGATTTTTTCTCTGAGCTAGCTATGTATGTACTAAATGTTGGGCAGACATGTCCCTTAGAAAAGAGAACTTGACATAAAGATGTTTTTGTAACTGTCTCCTTCTTCATCAGAAGGCAGACTCCTATGACACACAGAGAGAGGCTCCAGAGTACTACATAGCCTTGGCCTCACAGTAGTCAGGTTGGACTCAGATCCTCAGTCCATGTGTTAGCTTTAGGGTCCTAAGAATGTCAGCAGGCATCTTGGTAGGTTCCCATTTTCTTCCTACATCCCTGTGCAAAGCATTTCTTCTGGTGTGGAAATCACCTAACCTGCCACTGAGTGTAGAATCTGTAGGGCATTGCCAATACCATGCTGTTTATTAAAATGCTTATTGCTAGTAAAAACTCCAACTCTTCCTAACTAGACTCGGTTTGTCCTGACCTTTCCATGTAGAATGGGATTGGAAGCCCTGGTGGAGTCATATGCATTCTGGAGACCATCACTACGGACTCTAACTTTTGAAGATATCCCTGGAATTCCAAAGCAAGGTAATTCAGTCTCTTGTGCCATGTATGCAGAAGAGGCTGAGGTGTAGAGATGCACACTTTGTCATTTACACCCACAATATTGACATTATTATCAACATCCTCCTACTCCTTTTCTGCATGACAGAAAGATGGTTGTCCTGTGGTGTTAGAGATTAAATATTACATGTATTATCTGTTTATTTCACAATGCTTACCTCACCCTGGTATCTCTCACTGAGGCATGAGATATTGGGCTCTGAAGACAGGTGTACTGTACAAGAAATTGCCCAGTTGCCCATGCCTGTTCCTCTTATTCATCTATTGCCTCTCAGTAGGGTTTCTTATTGGGTCTGTGATGAGATCAGACCATTTTGAGCTCATTTCTCACAAGCCCTGGATTTGTATCTCCTTAGAGAACGGTGCCATCTTTATTGTTCCAGTCTGCTCAGGGGGTAGACTCCCAGGTCAGGCAAATTTTTACCAAGATCCTGCCAGCTCCCAGTGAGAATTTCACATAATCAGGTTTTGGGCTCATAGATTATTTGAAGGAGTGCAATGAAATACTGTTGTTAGACTAGTGAAGGTTTTACAGCCTATTCAGCCCTTTGGAATTCTTCATTCTTCTTAAATAATGTCAAGTTTGCAAGCATCAATCTACTAGCAAATCCAGAGAAGGGAGTTGGTGATTAATAGGAGGGAGTTGCTATTGATTGGTTGCAAGATTAAGCCACCCTCTTTGAGTGTCACAGTATTGTTAATTTCTTAGACCTTTGCTCTTGTGTTTCATGCTATTTGCCAATGTGTTTTCTAGCTAGAGTTGAGATTTTTTTTTTTTTTGAGGGACAAAGTGATAGCATAGCAGAGTGGTACAATCATTGTTGCACAGTGAGAAGCTACAGATGCACATGGGGTATAGCATCCTGGACCTGTTCTGTGCTTTCCTTTCAGTAACTTTTCCTCTGTAAGGAAGTGTACTGATCCAGAGAAGACTGTGGAGAGAAAGGAAATAGTAAAGTAGAAAAGAGGAGTTTATTTTACTGTTGGAGCAAGAGGCAAAATGAGATGAAATTTAACTTTATAAAGTTCTGGCAACTTTGTCATTTGGGATATTTATTTTTACAAATAAGAAAATTACAAGAAAGCAAATTGAGATAGAATATGCATCTTACTATATTTTTCTGTATTACAAAACATCATTATTTGGAAAGATAATTTGTTCTAAAAACTTTCCTCTAATATTTCATCAGATCTAATTAAGTGTGTGTGTGTGTGTGTGTGTGTGTGTGTGTGTGTGTGTATGTGTGTGTTTGCATGTATGACAGCACATGTGTGGAGATTAGAGGACAATGTTTGGGAGTTCATTTCCTCCTTCCACCATGTGGGTTCCCAGGGATTGAACTTAGGTTATCAGACTTGGTTGCAATTATTATTACCTTTTCATTCATCTTATCAACCTTTGGTTTAAAAATATTGAGAAAATGTTATTTTAAGTTCCTTAATCTGAGTTTGATGGAATGAATTCATTGAAAGCTAGGCTACCTCTCACCTTTGCAGTCCCTCACCCCCTTGAAACAAGCTTTATGCATCATATGTTTACCAAATTTAAAGGGAAAGATGGCAATTGGAGTCATGCTTTACATTGCAACTTCTTTTTATAGGAAATACAAGTTCTTCCACTTTACTCCAAGGTACTGGGAATGGTGTTCCTGCCGCACACCCTCACCTGTTGTCTGGCTCCTCCTGCTCCTCTCCTGCCTTCCATCTGGGGCCAAACACCAGCCAGCTATGTAGTCTGGCTCCAGCTGACTACTCTGCCTGTGCGCGTTCGGGCCTCACCCTCAACCGCTACAGCACTTCCTTGGCAGAGACCTACAACAGGCTCACCAACCAGGGCAGCGAGACCTTTGCCCCACCCCGGACTCCCTCCTATGTGGGTGTGAGCAGTAGCCCATCTGTGAACATGTCTATGGGTGGCACTGATGGAGACACCTTCAGCTGCCCACAGACCAGCTTGTCCATGCAGATTTCAGGGATGTCCCCTCAACTCCAATACATCATGCCATCACCATCCAGCAATGCCTTTGCTGCTAACCAGACCCACCAGGGTTCCTACAACACTTTCCGGTTACACAGTCCCTGTGCCTTGTACGGATATAACTTCTCCACATCCCCCAAACTGGCGGCCAGTCCTGAGAAAATTGTTTCTTCCCAAGGAAGTTTCTTGGGGTCCTCACCAAGTGGGACCATGACTGATCGGCAGATGTTGCCCCCTGTGGAAGGAGTGCACCTGCTTAGCAGTGGGGCCCAGCAGAGTTTCTTTGACTCTAGGACCCTAGGAAGCTTAACTCTGTCATCTTCTCAAGTGTCTGCACATATGGTCTGATGAAGCCTTTAAGCTAAACTATGTTTGAACCTAATGGATCTTCCTTAGTTTTGAAGAAGGCCAAATGGAAAAAATATACATAGTAGAAAATGAAGGCTCACTGAGGAGTTTTACTTTCTCCTGGCAAGACTGTAATTATCTATGGCATGTGTATGTGTATATGCTATGCATTCATAGCATGTAGTATATTGAAGGCTTTTCACTATCATGTTTATCCAGTGTCCCAGAATATTGACCATATATATATATATATATATATATATATATATATATATATATATATAGTTTATCCAGAGTAGCCAGACTCTAAAAGCAAAATGGTACACTTGAATGTTGATAATGATACTAACCAAAGACTTTTCTAATGCTCCCATGCAAAGTGATGGGGTTCATTACTGCAGTCTGACCTAACCAAAGATTTGTAACTTCATCTATCAGAAGAGTGCTCTGAGCAGTTTGTATTTGAGTGTTGGTAGCATTGATTTCTATTATTCTTAGACATGATGTTGAGACTCTACAGTGCAAATGCCAGTTAATTACTAGTATATTCTGAGACATCTGCCACAATAAAGGCTTAGCTTTCCATTTCAATTTATTCTTATTTACCGCAGACCTTGGGCTTAAAAATCTATAGTTTGACTGATTTTTTTGTTTTTGTTTTTTGTTTTTTTCTGAAGAAAAGTGGAGGGAGACCCTTGTGACTTTTCACTTTCTATTGAACAGAAAAATCTTACTTACCTGCAAAAAAGATACATCTGTACTATTTTAAAATTGTTTTCCATTTCATTTAGTTTATTAAGAAGACCATTAAAAATGTCACATAAACATTTTCTAATTCCAGTTTTTACCAGGGAAGGGGTTAGATTGTATGGTATGAGAAATTGCAGAAAAGAAAAGAAAATAAGTCCTCCTCAGATTCTTTTGTCTCAGTGAGTAATGTCTATTTATTTATTTATTTTTAATTAGAGGAATAGTGTCATCCACCCTCTAGGCCTTTGTGTGGCTTGTTTTTTAGATTTAGGATCATTCTTCATCTTTGAGCTGCTTGACCTCTGGTCTATGAGTAAGGAAAAGGCATTTATGCCACTTATTTATGTCTCATAACTCCTACAAATTGAACAGTTCCCCCTCCCTAGCCTTATCTCCCTGTCTGATTCTTTTCCAAAGCAGACAGGTCTTGCCTTTATGGTGCTAATGCGGCAAGGAATTTCAGAGGGTTATCTCCAGCAATCTGTCTTGTGGTTGTAGTCAAAGGCCAAAGTCCATTACTAGAAAGGCCTCCAAGGAGGACCAAGGAGGAAGATACTCATTATGATAAGTGAGCTATAAAACTTTTAACCTCAATAGCATTTTAACTTTGGAAATGAAGAAATGAAAACAGGATTGACTTTTAAAAGTGCCTAAAAGAACACATGAGTTCAAAATAAGGAACTTTGATAGTAGATCATGAGATAAACAGCAAAAAGTAAAGCATGCAGAATGGTGCACGGTTCCTTGTGTTGAGAAACTAAAGTGATGTGTCTGCCCAGATGCTCCTTACTTTTCATGTATACCAAATGAAAAGAATGCTTTGCTATTGTGTATCCATAGGCTTACTTCATGGTGTCCCTGATATGGATGGGGAAGGAGTCTCTATCCCAGTTTACTTCTTTACAGAGCAGTATCATTGTTGGATATTTAGGGGAATGTTATGTTTAGACAGACCACATTCTGGATTTGTCTCTGTTTATAGATACTGACAAATTTCCCCATGGAGTCTTTAAGGAGATAATCAAATTAATAACAACTTGAAAATCTAAGATTAGCATAAAGGGGCATGAAATATTTTCAGTAGGTAGCTCTAGCTAAGGTTTTAAGCATGGTCTTATTAACTTGGCAGAGATTTGGAAAAAAGGCTTTGAGTCCAGTCTTTGTGTTCATTATAGTTCAAGGAGAATAGTTTTCCATCTTGAGAAAACAGCAAGTGGAGCATTTTTCTTTTTGCTGTTGGTAATTTGAGATGACACCATGATCTGAGTAGACATTTTTTAAAAAATTGTTTTGGTAAAATTTAGCAATATTGTTTCTTTTAGGTTTTACTGTAAATAATAATCACTATGTCACTCCAAAGACTAACCTTTTATTATTGTACTAAATGACATATATACATCGATAATTATAATTATCTGTCTGTATTTTATTAAGAAGTACTTAAGAAATTATATTAAAGTACATTATTAAACCTTCTTATGGTTTTGGAGGGTAATCATTTTAATTGCTTATAAATATTTTTCTAAGAATAAAGACAGCCATGTGTCCCTATACACAAATTCTGTACCTCTCAACTACAAAGGCCTGCTGTTCATTTTTCAATATAATTTCTCAGCACAATAACTATGTCATTGAAGATAAAGACCCTGACAAATGTTGAACACACAGCAGTTTGGATGTGAGAAGAGAAGGTGGAATAGCATGCCTTTTTCAGGTCTGGAAAAAAAGGCAAGGATGTAGGACTGATCTGCTTGAGCTGCTAGCCAGTGATGACAGATTACTTCTAGGCCTCTTGACTGGAAAACATTCCAGGGCACATGGAGATGGGAAGAGGGTGTTGTTATCAGGACCAGTCACATTGTGAAAATTAATACTTGCTTCCATACAAGCCCCCTCCCAGAGGTCAACAGCTTTTCGCGAGTAGGGCACACTGTTGTTGACCCCTGATTTCTGGAATGTAGGGGGTCAGGAGAACTTCATGCCTCCCAGAGGAGGCACAGTATGGCCTATAGAAAGAAGGGCTCACTCTTTATTTCAGTTCATGAAATTGTGAGAGATAAAGAAAACATTTAAAATTCAAGTAGGTCTGCATTGCCCTTGCAAGTTTAAACTTATCAGTAGCTGAGATTTTATTGTATAATAAATAGCAATTTTGGGAGATAACTGGATGTTTGATTAGGAGAAAAAGGAAGTAAGTTTTGCAGCAAGTCTTTTCTTGGAATATATGACAGAAGAAGAAGGTACAAAAAGAAATCTTCCCCCCCCAAAAAAATCCTTAGTGAAACACATTATTTCTACTGTAGGGCCATTAAAGGAATCATTCCATGGGACTGGGGAGTAATGGCAGAACTGCTGCTGAATTATATACTGTAGTCTAGCTAAAGGTTTATAAAAAAATATTTTATTTCAGTGTGAGTTTCCTCATAAAAACTTGCTGGCTCGTCTACATGACGGATTTCCCACACTTTGCATCAGCAACTAGATTTTCACTAAATTATTACCATTCTGTATTTTAATCTCATCTTTTCTGAAAATAAGTGATAAGTTGGGAACAGGGTTAAATACATGAGCATTTAAATTGATGTCCATGAATTTTACAGGTTAAAAACAAGATAATCTGTGATAGAAGTGGTTAATAAAAATAATCAAAGTATAGGAAACTCTAACATATGTTAGGCATGGTATTTCTCTATGCTGGTAGATTTGCAGGTAAACTGTCAATTTTGAGACTTTGGCAGAGTGACTATATAATTGTCTTGGCAATTAGAGAAGTTGGTTGTACATCATGGATGCCTCAATCCAGATTTTGTGCATAAATCACTTTGGATATCAATTTTTTTTTAGTGTGTAAAAGGTATATTTAGAATAGGAATCTTGACCATTACTTTCAATTTTGAATTCATGTAATACCTATTTATTAATACTTAGCTTAATATCAGTAAGCATGTTCTCATGAAATTGAAAATTTATTTGGGGATATACACATACATATATATGTGCATACACACACACACACACACACACACACATATATATATATATATCATAGCAGTATCAGGATTATTTCCAATACTGGACTAATTAAAGATAACTTTTTAAGTGAAATGGAGCTTTAATCAGTTATATAGAACAAATTTTAATGTTTTCATATTTGAATGAAACTATATTTAGTAACGTATTTTCTACTATGTAGAATATATTAACAAAATTGTCTTTTAATAATGCTTTTAATTGCATGGCATAAATCATCACATGGAACAAACATGGAAATCTTGTATCTAGTCATCTAAGTCCATTCAAATTCTTGAGATGATACTTAAACTTGTCTTTGTGTAGTTTTGTTCATTCTGAAACTCAGATAATATCAAGCCATGTATTAACTGTGTTGTTGACCAAGTTTGTACAAGACTAAACAGATCCACAGAGACATTCTTTTTTTTTATTTTATATAACCAAGTCCATTTAAATGAAAACAAACATTTATAGACAATATTTGGGAATTTGGGCGTCGTTCTTTCCAAACGACTTCCTGCTGGTAAGGGGCGCTGTCATGGGGGAATCGAAGAAGATTCAGAAATCCGCTGTAGTTTGTAAGGCTGCTTTGTCCAGCTGTTTTGAATGTAGGATCACCTGGTACTCTGTTTCAGGTGGTCTGGCTTGATCAAACCACATTAGTCTGGAAGGAATCCACATCTTTTCATTTTCTGTGGAAACAAAAATAGAAATCCTTTTCCCCAGTAACTTGTCCTTCAACTTAAATTTTGGAGTCAAAGCATTTTTTTAATTTAATTTATTATTTTACATGTCGATCCCAGTTCCTTCTCTTTCCCTCCCCCCTTCTCTCCCTCCCTCCCTCTCTTCCTCCCTCCCTCCCTTTTACCGTCTCTGCCCTCTCACATGCACTCTAACCACCCTCCCATCCCCCCACCCCAATTCCATGTGTAGGGGAATGCCATCTAGTAGGTCTGACAGGTCATGTGAAGTAGGGACTAGGGCTTCTCTCCCCACAGAGACATTCTATGTTCATGTTTGAATTCTATTTACAGTAACTAAACTTATTTACTGTTGATACCAATATTTTTCTATATATAAGGTCTATTGAGACACAGTTCATACATTATACAAATTATCTTTCTGAAGTGAAATATTTAAGGGCTTCCTTATATCTGCAGAACTGTAAAACTATTACTATCATTAATTCTAGAACATTTTCATCACCTTTCTTTCCATGCCTTTCTTATTCCCAAGTCTCAGGAAACTATTAA